TCACTTGATCTTCACAACAACACTAGGATGTACGTGCTATTATTATCCTCATTTTACAGTTAAGGAAACTGAGGCAGATAGCGGTTAATTGATTTGCCAAGAATAAGTTAGAAATGTCGAAGGTCGAATTTGAATTCAGTTTATCCTGACTTCAGGTCTATTGTACCACCTAGGTAAAATAAAATGCTTGCTCAATTAATGGGTACTATTTTATTTTGACATCTAAAGATAACATGAATAAATTAGGGCAATGTAATAAGTTTCTTAATGTGAAACCTTCATTTAAGCAAAAAAGGGTTTGGGGACCATGAAAATATTAAAATATCAAAATTCCATAATATATTTGGCTTTCAAAATAAGAGAATATGACTCAAAATTCTTACATTTTTACTAATGATAAATTGTCACCAAGTCAGACATTATGTTTATGATTTTTGTGGTATAATTTTAAAATACCTCCATTTTAACTCATTTTTCAACCTGGCATGTTCTTGGAAATAGTCAGTAAATATTTATTAAGCATTTGCTATGTGCCAGGCACTGTGCTAAGTACTAAGTATACAGATAAAAGAGGAGGGGAGTAAAGTCCCTGCCTTGCCATGTTCATGGGAATTCACATTTTTAGGAGGGAGACAAGACAGAAGTACAGCCAGCTGGGAAGCTCTAAGTTGCTGCCCTCTGCACTCTCTTTAAGTGAAGGATCTGGAAGGAACTTTCCACTGCCTCCAGCCTCTACAATTATCTCTCTTTTTGGAGTTAGAATAATTGACATTTCAAATGGTGATATGCTGAGCATTTTCAAACATTGGTTTATTAATATCACATTAAAATAAAAGAAGAAACAATGTTACAATTTAAATATAATTATGGATAAATTAAAATAAAAATAACTTTTAATGTTCATCTTCAGAATTTCAAATACAGCTCTTATGTAAAACTAAATGGTTATAACCTAAGTATACTCGAGTTGTACATAGTGCAATTACATAACACACCTTTAAAAAAAAACAAGAATGATTTAAATAATTGGAGAGATATACATTGCTTGTGCTTAGGCCATGTTCATATAACAAAGGTGACAATGCCACTTGAATGTAGACTTATATTATAATTATACTATGATGTAGCACTTTATAAAAGTAGACAAAATAAAATTAATTTGGAAGAATTAAGGGGCTAAAGTCTTGAGGGAAATAATTTTTAAAGTAGGAATGTAGAGAGAATAGGACTTCCAGACCTCAAATTATATTATAAAGCATTATCAAAAGAAATATTTTGCATGGAAACACTTACATGAACTGATGCAAAGTGAAATGAGCAGAACCAGAACAATATTATACACAATAACAGCAATATTGTATGATGATCTCCTGTGAATAACTTAGCTATTTTCAACAGTACAATGATCCAAGACAGGGCTTATCATGAAAAGTGTTGTCCATCTCCAGAGAAAGAACTGGTAGAGCTTGCATGCAAATCAAAGATACTTTTTGTTTATTTTTCTTGAGGTTTTTTTGTCTGTGTTTTCTTTCATAGATTGATTTACATGGAAGTGTGTTTTGCATGACTACACGTGTATAACCTACGTAAAATTACTTGCCTTCTCAATGGGCGGGAGAGCCAGGGAGAATTTAAAACTCAAAATTTTTAAAAAAGATTGTTAAAATCATTTTTTCATGTAATTGGGAAAAATAAAATATTAAATAAGATTTTTTAAAAAAAGAAATGTTGGGGCAGCTAGGTGGCGCAGTGGATAGAGCACTGGCCCTGAAGTCAGGAGGACCTGAGTTCAAATCTAACCTCAAACCAAACACTTGACACTTATTAGCTGTGTGACCCTGGGCAAGTCACTTAACCCCAATTGCCTAAAAAAAAAAAAAAAATTTTAAAAAATGTTTTGTAATGGTATAAAATTAGAAAAATAGATAAATAGAATATTCTATATCAAACTCAGTAACCCAATGTTTAATAAACTTGGGAATATAAATTACTTGGAGAAGAACTCCCAATTTGGCCAAAACAGCTGGAAAAACTGGAAAGTAGTTTGTTAGTAAATTATTTTTGATCAATATTTTTTGCCACATACCAAATAAACTCAAAATGGGTACATGATATGTATATAAAAGTACACACAATTAAAAAATAGAAAAGAACCAAACCAGTTATGTTTCACAGATGTGGCTAGGGAAAAAATTTGTTAACCCAAGGATAGAAGTGAACACAAAAGATGAGATAAATTGAATAGCTATTATACAAACAAAATCAGTGGAACTAGAATAAAAATTGAAACTGTCATTTGGGAGTAATATTTGTATGTTATTTCTAAGGGTTTGATACCCAAAAAGTATAGGAAATTTGAATTATCTAGAGCACTAAGAAATTAAGTGACTTGCCCAGGGTCACAAAATCAGTATGTGTCCAGGATATTACTTGAACTCAAAGCTTGCTGCCTTCAAGATGAGCTCTCCATACTCCATGCCACACTGCCTTTTAATAGAGAAGTAGCACAAACATATAGGGCCAAGAGCAATTATACAAAAGACAAATGGTCAAAGAACATGAGCAAATTGCTGTCAAAAGAATTACAGAGTAGTAATAACCATTTGTTAGTTCCACTAATAATGAAAGAAATGAATGCAAATTAAACAGCTTTGAGGTTTCACTTCAAATCCAGCAAACTGGCAAAAGATGGACAAAGTCATTATTGGAGAGGCTGTGGAAACAAAGGCACTGAGCTTTCAATTTGTCCAGTCATGATGGAAGGTAATTTAGAATTTGAGCTTAAATACCTATATTCTTTGACCCAGAGATTTCACTGCTAGTCAAATAATCCCAGGTACCAAAAAACCATAAACAAAAATAAGTGTATATTAATTGAGGAATGACTAAATAAATTTTATATGTAATGCAATAAGTTATCAGTACATCATAAGAAATAAAAAAATAGGAAGGATTCAGAGAAGCATGAGGAGACTTATTTGAAGGGATGCTGAGTGAAGTGAGCGGAGTAAAGAAAACAACATGCACAATGACTACAATGATATAAATGGAAAAACAGCCAAAAACAAAAGCTACTGAAAGCTATGTAATTATAGTGTCACTCATGGCACTAAAGAAAAGTTAAGAAAATACACCTCCTCTTTCCAGAGGTGGGAAACTCTTGGTATGAAATATTCAGATACATGGTCAATCTATTGTTTGGTTTTGCTGACCTGCTTTTTCTGTCTTTTTAAATTGTTTCTTAAAGGGATGGGCCACAGGGTAAAGGTGAGAATAAGCAAATATTTGGAAATGAAGGTAATATTAAAAAACAAAAGATATCAATAAAAACAAGATAAAAATAAATTCTTATCTTGTAAAAGTGATTGTTTAATAATACATCATAAAATGTGATATCCCCCCTTACGTGATTTTCAGTCGTATTTGTTTCTTGATAATCTGTAGAAATTTGTTTCCAATTTTAAATTTCATTCTATTATTCTCAAATGTCAGAATGTGTGAAACTGAATCAGAAGGGAAATATGCACTATGTTCACATTTACTTAATTTTTGAAATGAGAATGTATCTTGTTTGCTATCCATTCTCATAAATTCTTTGTCATATTCTGTTTGTTCTTCTCTTACCTCTTCATTAATAAATGGATCCTCTGTTAGCAAATAAATGCAATCTTGATTGATCAAAATTCCGTAATAGCCATTGTAAAAGTTTTTGTTATTGTTGTTAAGTTGTGTCCAACTCTATGTGACCCCATGGACTTTTGTCCATGGGATTTTGTTGGCAAAGATACTGGAGTGGTTTGCCATTTCCCTCTCTAGTGTGCCCCCATTTTACAGATGAGGAACTGAGGCAAATAGGGGTTAAGTGACTTGCCCAGGATCATACAGCTAGTATCTGAGATCAGATTTGAACTCAGATCTTCTGCCTCCAAGCCCAGTGCTCTATCTACTGCACCACTTTGTTGCCCATAGGAAAAATAGTTTTGACCAACATGCAAAAGTATGGTACCCCTATAGAGTCAGTATTTTAATCATTTTATAATTTTACAATTTATCATCATATCACCATCAGTCATGGCACATAATGACTTCCTAAAGTTGAGGATATTATTATTCATATAGATACACTGAGCATAACATTGACTAATATAATTTTACAGTAATAGGATTGAGATAAGAAGTATAGGAAACTCTTGGATGACAAAATTCCTTCTAACAATAAAGGCCCACACCTTGCCTGTTACTTAGTGTCTTAAGAGAGTTGCCTAGAGCACTTAAAAGTAAAATAACTTGCCCAGGGTCACAAAGCCAGTATGTGTCAGAGACAAGATTTGCACCTGATCGAGTTTTTCTAACTTTGAGGCTAGTTTGTTCTATATTCACTACAGTATTCTGACTTCCTTTATAATAATGATGATCATAATTATAGCCAAACACAATAATTATGTAAAAGCCCAAGGTAACATCATTCATGCATTTGCCAGAGGCACAAAATGAATGTTTAGCACTGATCTGAGCTAGTATTTGGAAAGAATCAGTAACAATTTGTCTTCTTCACTTATCTTCTTAACATCACCATGTTGCTTAATGTAAGTACATACAAACTAGTTCTGTAGACCTGCCTCCTATGACATCATTTCACTCAAATTCATATTTTAATGGAAACAATTAATGACATAGGAATTGTCTATATGTTAGGTGCTTTCTGAATCCAAATCTCTTCTGTGTATAGTTATAACTGACATGATGGCAAACAACTTATATCAGTGCTCTTCTAATCACATATCCTTGGCTCAGCTATTTTGTTTCACAAAGATTCCAAGTGAATCAACTTTTGCATTTAGTTAATCCATGCTTTAGAACTTGCAGGAACGAATGAAAGTGACTTTATACAATGTTGAAAATGTCACCAACAACAGTAACAAGAAAAAGAAGGATCAGTTTAAATTAAACATTAAAAAACGTGTAAATCATTCATATATTCTCTTGTTTTTCCCTGGCAGATATTTATATGCCCTTGGACAAAAGGTTTGGAAAAGGTGGAAAAAACGATACTTCGTTCTTGTTCAGGTTAGTAAAGTTTTCTCATATTTCAATTACTCCTAAGTAACCTAGTATATAACAACATTAAAAAATGAAAAAAAACCTACTCATTTAGTCAAGTTTTTAAAGAGGCACATTTTTTAAAATGTTCACTTAAACATGCCCAAGAACTTCTTCATGACAGGAAAATATTTTAGACTGTAGTGTTGCAGGATTCTGAAAGCACGCTTAATACTTGAATGTATTGGTTTTGACTATTTTATTGCATATTTTATTTGCTTTTCTAAAATGTGCTCCCCTTAAATGAAATTAATTCACTTGACAGGAAGGGTCTCTATCAAAATAGTTATCTTATGTTGTTTAAATTACCATTCTGTAGTAAAGTTTAAACATTATGGCTCCCAAAGGAAATACATTTCAGAAAAATCACATGTGGGATTCCTAGCTTAACTACATAACCTCAAAAATCTTGTTTATTCCCATGCTACTGGTCATCTGTAACATGTAGATATCACTTTAGTGCAAACAAAGATAAAGGAAGAAATATTGTTTTCAGTGGCAATATTTATACCGCCTTGTGACTGCCCCAAGAAAAATGATTTGGTCTTTTTCTACCTGACCCTGTAACAGTTGGTTGAAAAGTGTAAAACTCAATAAATCAAGAGTAGTTTGGTTATAAAATGCTTTACAACCTATGTGACTGGTTTTTCTCAATACATGGGCTGGTTGTTCTGTCATGTCATTTAACATCACATTGGAAGATGAGGGTGGAATGTACTGATTACTAAATCATAAATCTAACCACATTATAGTTCACATTGATTCCCTGTCTTATTCCTGTTTTTCTAATATTTCATCAGAAGAAATGAAATGTAAGCAGTAATTTTTATTGTGTTGTCTAACCACAAAAAAGTAGTATGGCATAATGGCTAGACTATTGGACTCAGGAAGAGCTGCATTCAGATCTACCTGTGAGGTTTATTTACCATCACTTTGATGCTCTGACAGAGCTCTAAGGCTGTCACTTGAATTACAACTGGTTGTGATCTGCTGAAGTAGAATAAGTCCCCACATTGATTAAGTCATAGATTCTTGATGTCTTGAAGAATCCTGCTAAAAGATAACTGAGAAATGAGAATAGTCCATGTCCATGGGAAATTTTCTTTCTCTTCTTGATTACTGATATACTAAAACATTTTTCCAAATCCACAGAAGTCATATATGTGAAATTAAATATGCTTTTCATATATATGTATACATACACATGAAATTAAACGTACTTTTATATTCAGTAATTCCATTTTAGACATCTCAATACTGAACAAAACATGCCTATGGGTGATATCTTTCTCAAATGCTTAAATCATATTTGGGTCATATGTAGATCTTATTTACACATGCGTACACATAGAACAGGGCTCAAATATACTGAGGTGGTCAGTAGACAGTAATCAGAAAACTTGCTAAAGTTATAGGAACAATTGAAAGCTTCCCCACAATTCCATTTGTGAGGAAAAACCAAATTGAATACACACTTTTTCAAAACCAGGGTAGAAATACATGCAGGTCTAACTAGAATAGCCCATTGGGGAGACTGGGTAGTTTATATTAGCGTGTTTAAAGACAACTCTCCTTGTATCTGCACACAGCTTGGAGGCCATCCTAGCAGGCTGCATTATTGAAAGGTGAAGGAGTCATTTTTAGTAGGGAGGACAGTGTACCCCTGCTGTGTCTGCTGCTGCCATCGGCAGGATGGTGCTCTAGTGATAATGTGAATCTCATCACCACTTGTGAGTGTGTATTATGTGAGTGATATAGCTGGAGATCCTAGCCATCAGCCCAAGAATTTTGCACCCCTAGAAATTGATTGAGAGTAAGAATTTTCCTGCTGTAGAGTCGTTGTTCAAAGTGAACTCTAGGAGCCAGGAAAGTAGACTTTTCAAATACTCTCTGCTACAAACATTTAAATTAAAAGCAAATGCTAGAATAGGAGAGGAAGAAAATGAGGAGAATGTTCTCATTTATGAGTGTGGGAAATGTACCTATAACTTAAGTCAATGCAGTTAGTTCCTAGATAAAATTAGATTCAACCACAGCTTCTTCCTATCTTTTGTCCCTATTTCTCATGGATTCTGAGGACATATTGTAGTGTTAAGAAGGGCATTTTAGTATTTCAACTAGAATCAGAAAATTATAAATAGAGAATAAGAGTTTTGCTTTAAAATGGAGTCAAAGCTTTGATTTTTCCATAGCAAATACAATGATGGAAAAGATTCCAAGGCATTTCAGCAGGCTCATTCATTTTTCTAGCAGTGGTTTAATGTGCTTGTGTAAAAATAATGATAATAATAATAATAATAATAATAATAATAAGTTAGACTGGATGAGAAGAGTTACCCTGATATCACTGATGATAATTTTTAATTTAGTAATATTTAAATACATACTTTAAAATTTAGATTTTTAATTTATTCAGATTCATCTTAACAGTCATAAAATGTCTCAATATCCCCTTTTTATACTTGTAATTGCTCAAGAAGAATAATTCCTAGTGATAATTGCTTTTTTGATCCATATTTAACAATGTCCCTGAGCACATTCAGGGAAGGCCAAAGATGTAGTAGAAAAAGCACTAGATTAGAAGTCAAAGAATGGAAGCTTGAATCTCACCTCTGGCAGCTGCCTATATCCCTTGAAATAGCTTTGGGACATCAAGGCAGTGAAAGCATCTGTCCTTTATTTAGCATTTTTTTACTTACACAAAGGAAGACTCAAGGAAAAACATGAGGAACCTGGAATATGGAAGAGGGGATGGAAAGATGAGAAAGATGGAGATAATTTGTCATATAAATCTCTTCATAACCTAGCCCCTTCCTACATATTACTCCTCCATCTGTCCTACTCTCACCCCTACCAAATACACTGCTATCCAATGACATTGACCTTGTTTCTATTTCTCAAACAAGAGATTGCATCTCCCAACCTGTGCATTTACCTTGGCTGTCCCCTGTGCCAAAATTCTCTCCTTCCTCATCTCTATTTCCGGGCCCCCTGGCTTCCTTCAAGTCCCATCTAAAATTCCATCTTCTACAAAAAAGTCTTTCCCAATCCTTTTGAATGCTAATATCTTCCTTCTATTAATTACTTATAGTTTATCCTGTATATATCTTATTTGTATACACAGTTGTTTGCATGTTGACTTCCCTATTAGACCATGAGCATCTTGAGAGCAAGGACTGGTTTTTTTGTTTGTTTCTGGGCTTTTCTTATATCTTCATTGCTTAGCACAATACCTAACACATAGTAGACACTTAGGAAGTGCTCGTTGACTGGACTTGACTAAGGAAAATTACAACAAAAGCAGTTTCCTGGACTTCAGACTTAATGGTCTTGAAGAACTTGACAAAAAAAAAAAAAGGAACTTCAGTGATAGTCCTGAGGAAAGCCAGCTTTTCAACCTGGAAGGTATACTCAATTTCATATCACTTCGAATTAATGTAAGATATAGAGTTGTTAAAACTAGGACAACCAGGGGCAGCTAGGTGGCGCAGTGGATAGAGCACTGGCCCTGAAGTCAGGAGGACCTGAATTCAAATCTGGCCTCAGATCAAACACTTGACACTTACTAGCTGTGTGACCCTGGGCAAGTCACTTAACCCCAGTTGCCTTAAAAAAAAAAAAAAAAAACTAGGACAACTAGGGTAAATCAGCCAATACATCCCAACTAAGAAGTGAGGCAATGAAGTTTTCAATTTCTTGAAAAGGTAGAGAAGATTCACAGGTAGGAAGAGGAGGTAGAGGCAGTCTGTCATAAGAGAAACTGTACCCTTCACCTTTGCCATTGCAAAATATGTGTATGAATATACACACACACATAAATATATATACATACATACACACACACACACACACATATATATATGATATATGTATGTGTATAGGTTTTTTGGACCACCACAAACTCACTTCTAATTTTTGAGGCTCATATTCCTTCACTATAATAACAACACTTATACTACCTTCTTCACAGAGCTGTTGTGAGGATCAGATGAATTCCTTTGTTAGCCTAAAAGTGCTATATAAATGTAAGCTTTTTTTTCTGGTGGGTGGGGAGGAGGAGAAACAGACCTATGATTTCATTGGCATAGGGAATTTGAAAGGAATAAACTCTCTAGTCAAACTGCAAAACTTAATGTTGCCCTATATTGTCCTACTTCCACCTTCATACCTCCATGGACACATTGCTACCCCTGACTGATATGTCCCTGACTTCTCCTTCAAGGTCCAGTTCATGTGGTACCTCATCTGTCACACTGTCCATGATCCCTTCTTCCTTCATTTCTAAACTCTTATTCATAGGTCAGCTTGACTCCTCTTGTACACTTAGGCATTTTCTAATATGTCTTTTAGCTATCTGTGTACCTGGATCACTTAATTGAATTTTTTATTTAAATTTTTACTTCTTATGCTTATATTTTCTTTTTTTATACCACTTTCATTTTTGAATATATCACTTCTCTTCCCCTACCCAGTGAAACTTTTTCTTGTAACAAAAATATTTTTAAACAAATGATGGGGGTGGGGGGCAGCTAGGTGGCGTAGTGGATAGAGCACCAGGCCTGGAGTCAGGAAAACCTAAGTTCAAATCTGGCCTCAGACACTTACTAGCTATGTGACCCTGGGCAAGGCACTTAACCCCAATTGCCTCAAAAAAAAAAAAAGTTAAAGAAAGGATAGGGGAGAAAAATAATTTGGAAAAACTAATCAATACATCTACTGATTTTGACGAGTGTTTGTAATATTCCATATCTATAGTCTCCTATCCTTGCCAAAAAGAAAGGGTGATAACCTTCAAAGCAGGGCCAATATATATTTTCCCTGTATCTCTGTTACCAGTGCCTACCTCAGGGCCTTGCACATAGTATGCACCTAATAAATGTTTGTTTATAGAATTGAATTAAACTAAAGGTTCTCTAAAGATAATTGTCAGTGAAGATATAAGAGGCTGTCATGTGTACCAAAACAAT